AGGATTTGGGATTTAGGATTTGGAGCAATATTTGTTCTTTCCCATTATTTTATTTTCTCTTTTACCGTTTATCTGGGTTGAAGGGTTGATTTGGGTGTTTTATTTTTTTAATCTTTCAATGCCCACGAAGGGTGTGAGGTTCCCCTGCCCCAGCAGCCAGGCCAGGCCCCTCTCCCCAGGCCAAGGTTTTACCTTTTCAAGTTCAGCATCCTGGAATGGGAACTGTCCAACGATTTTTTTATAAACTTCTTCATCTGGCACCGGGATGGGGCTGTAATTATCTGAGTCGAGGATATTCCTGGGAAAAGAAGAGAAGGGTTAGGGAGACAACTGGGAGGGGGAAATTTTCCTGCTGGCTCAGGAGATTCCCAGAGGCTGAGATCCCAAATCCCTGCAGCAGCAGCAGCAGCCAGGGAGACCCCAAAACCAGCCAGAGCCCAGTGAGGGAGCGAGGGCACAGAGCCATGGAATGGTTTGGGTGGGAAGGGAATTTAAAATTTATCCAGAGTCTCCCCATCCATGGCAGGGACACCTCAACTGTCCCCAGTGTCCAACCTGGCCTTGGGCATTGCCAGGGATCCAGGGGCAGCCCCAGCAAATCTGGGAATTGCAGCCCAGGCAGGAATTCCTTCCCAAGATCCCAGCCCAATCTCCCCTTTCCCAGTGGGAGCCATTCCCTGGGTCCTGTCCCTCCAGGCCTTGTCCCCAATTCCAGCTCTCCTGGAGCCCCTGCAGGGACTCTGAGCATTCCCTGGAATTTTTTCCCTTCTCCAGGGGAACATTCCCAGTTCTCCCAGTCTGCCTCCAGCACTGGAAACTCCTGCCCCTCCTTCCTGCCCTTTTCCAGCTGTTGGGAACAGCAGCACAGCTGGAATTTGGGGGTTCAGCCCCTCCTGGGTGCTCTTGGTGCCTCCTCTCCTTTCTCCAGGAGGTTTTTCCAGCCCATCCTGCCAGAGGCTCCTTGGGAGCTGAGCTTGGCTCTGGATCAGCCCTGACACGAGTGGGAATTGTGCCCTGCAGGGAGGGAATTCCCAATGGGAATTGTCCTGGTAAATGGAGCCCCTGACCTTTGGGGCCACGTCCCAAACCCGGGGTTGAAGTGGGAAACCAAAACAGCCTTGGAATTATCCCGGGAGAAAGGTGGGGGGTGCTGGGATGCTGCAAATGGGGGGGTGGGAATGGGTTAGGGGGGATGTTGGGAAGGAATTCCTGGCTGGGAGGGCCTGGAATGGAATTCCCAGAAAAGCTGTGGCTGCCCCTGGATCCCTCCTGGAAGTGTCCAAGGCCAGGCTGGACAGGGCTGGGAGCAGCCTGGGACAGTGGAAAGTGTCCCTCAACTTTTATCCCGAGTTTTTCCAGGATTGGGGCTTTGTTTGCAGAAAAACCCAACCCCAAATCTCAGTGGATTAGACCTGATCCAATTCCCAAAATTATTCCCTGATTTCCAATGGGAAATTCCACTGGAAAAAGTAAGAGAATTATTTTTAAAACAACCTGATGAACTTGTAAAAAAACACAAAAGTGCTGAGGAGATAAAGGAAATTTGTAGAAAAACCCAAACCCAAATCTCAGTGCATTAGAGCTGATCCATCTCATCCTTCATCATTTCCCAAAATTACTCCTGATTTCCAATGGGAAATTCCACTGGAAAAAGTAACAGAATTATTTTTAAAACAACCTGATGAACTTGTAAAAAGGCAAAGGTGCTGAGGAGATAAAGGAAATTTGCAAAAAAACCTCAACCAAAACCCAAAGATATTCCCTATTTTCCAATGGGAAATTCCACTGGAAAAAGTTACAGGATACATTTAAAGACAACCTGATGAACTCAACTTGTAAAAAACCCAAAAGTGCTGAGGAGATAAAGGGAATTTTCCAGCTCTAATCCAATTAACAGAGCCAATAATCAAAATTCCAAGCCCTACAAACCCAAGTGAAACGACTCCCACAAAAAGGAGATCCCTCCCATCCAACAGCCACGAGGAGCTGATTTAACAAAATAATTAGGGGAGGAAAAAATAAAAAAAATAATTAAAAATAAATAATTAAAAATAAAAAAATATAAAATAGGAGCTCCACTTTGTGCCACGGGCTGTGCTGTGCAGGAAAAGGCTTGAAGGGAATTGGGATAATGACAGGTCCTGGATCCTGGGCCAGCTGTGGTGACCTCCAGGCCCCCTGTGAGTGACAGGGTGACCCCCCCAGCACCCCGGGGTGCTCCATAAATGACAAGGCCAGGGGAAAAAAAAACAAAAAAACCCAAAAAAAACAAACAAAAAAAAACCCAAATAAAAGGGAAGAGAAAAAGGGAACTCGCTGCTGGCTTTGTAGCCAAGCTTCCCAATAAAAGTTAATTCAAGCTGTCAGGGTGAAATGAAGAAAATGTCACCAGGGGTTTGCAGAGAAATGTTCCAAATGTTTGGCTGCAGCAGGAGGAGAGGGGGCTCCTCCAAAAAAAAAATCCAACGTGGGAAGGAATTTTAATAATGGGTCAGGAGGGAGGCACGGGGATATTTCTGCTCCCAAAGGCCAAATATCCCGGGATGGGGAAGGGAAGGGAGCTCAGGGGGAACAGCATCCACCTGGAACCCGGGGAAAGGGGAGCCTGGAACTTTCTGGGCTGTCACATCCCCCGGGAAAAGGCTCCCAGAAGGGAGTGATGGGGGCAGAATGGCTGGTGTGGGGTGGGATGGAATCGTGTCGGGTCCCACGGTGAAAAACGTGCGGGGCGGGGTTTGGAGGATGGTGACAGGAACAGGACACGATGGAGCCTG